TTATTCTAGCAGATTTTTCAAGTTAGCCAATATAAGGAATGTAATGTTAGTAATGAGATAACAAGAACCATGGGTGAGGCAGCTGCACTGGTATCAGGGCAACAGCAAAGGACATTAAAGCTTTTATCACACAGTGCAAGATTAGGAAGGTCTAACGTACTTTGGTGTGGTCACAGGAGAGACAAAGCAGAGTTACTGTCAGTTCATCTTCTCCTGAACAGCACCAGTGCAACAGGACTAACTCTAGCTGAAAGAAAAATAAGTCAATGAAAGGAATATGCTCGAAACTATTTGACTATAATGATCAAAGTATGATAGAAACAAGAGAATGGTGGTTTTGTATAGAAAAAAAGAAATCTGTATTTGCTATATCAGGCTTCCTTTTGTGTCAGCACTTTAAACAACATAGCAAAGGCTGAGACAATTCTGTTAACATTACTGGGAAAGCTACTAAAATTGCATGAGGTGTTAAATATAGCTTATATTTAACTAATAGCCTGAACTGCAAGCCTACAACCAAGATGCTTTGCAGCATATCCCAATTTTCAGTGTATTTGGCCAAGCTAGAAATGAAGCAAACTAATGGAAAAGTCATTCTTCATGTGAGAGAAAAAAAACACACCAGCAATTCCAAATCCTGCCAAATTTCTAACTCCAAATTCAGAAAATTCCTCATTTACTATAAATGCAATTAAAGTGCAGTTATTAAGACCTCATGGACTTTATTCTTTTCATAAATACTGAAGTTTTTTTTATATGTTATAGTGTAATTTATATTACCATAGCTGTCACAAATGCAGACGGCTGCTGAAATAATTCTTCAAGACACAATTATTGTTCAAGTGTTCGCAGAACAGTCTTCAAAACAATTATTTATTCTCATAATCAGAGAGAAAATAGTAACTAAAGCACCCAGCAGACCAAAATTACTGAATTGTGTTATCAGATATGTGCAATTAACTCTTGCAGCCTTCTGGACAGACCATCTTTTCTACTTAACTTTACTTGCACTCAGTGTAGTGGAAACTATGGCTCCTACTCCTGCTGAATTATGGAAGTGGTCCAGGTAGTCTGAGTGCAGTTTCATAAGGCTGGATCCCAGCTCAAAGCAAGAGAAACACCCAGCAAGAGCAGTGAACATACAGTGTGCCCAGTACAACATTTCTGTACAAGCACCAAGAGCCAGGGACCTGCCCCCTGGGAACAAGCCCAGCAATGCCAGCCTTTTCTTTGGGATCTTCCAGGACCTTCCCCACCCACTCCATTCATTGTACATTTTTTACAGCACAGTGAGCAGTGTAGGACTTCAGCCTGTTCTATTTCCTTCTGAACATTTAATCTGACATTTTATGCTTTCTGTTGATATAATAGAGAGCCTAAGTACAAGAAACATTTGTATTTCTGTTCAGCACAATAAATCAAAATTTAGAAGGGGAATATAAAAACTAAATAGAAAAGCACTGTTAGAAAATACAGTAAAGATACTGCACCTAAAACCCCTGACTTATAATTGGGTAAAACTGACACAACAATCAAATGGAGATACTTTCCATAAACCAAAAGACAGATACATTAAATTTCAAAATGCTAAGATACCATAGTATCTCTATAAAATGCAAGCATCTAAAACATCATAAAATAAAACCCCAATGTCTTTCAATACTAAAAAAAGGAAGTCAGAGTAACAGTCAAGCCCCAATGACAGATGAACCTTTAATCAAGAAATAAAGCACATTTTTAGTGGTTTTTCCTCTTTGAGGAAATTCCTGAACTGCTGCTAGGTCAAAGTAAAATCTGGAAGGTAAGAAAATCCCCCCTAGTAGCCACATGAATGGGATACTACAGCCACCAAACATTTTCTCTTAACCACAAACAGATTATAATTTACAGTGTAAGAGATAAAAGAGCATTTTATTACTTCTCAGTACCATTCTGCCCTTATAGTGCTGTAATTATGACTGGTCAAGTAGATCTTTAATTTTCACACTTCAAATACTGATTATCTGTATTCTGCAGACACCTACAAATACATACATCAAAGCTGCCAACTTCCACAGAATGTTAACCAGGGCCCATTGTCCTTACATTCTTTTTGCAGTTGAATCCTGGTGCATTAGGTCTATAAACAGGTCCACTTAGTCATTTTCTTACAAGCTATTCATGTAGAAACTATAATGCTCTGTTCTCCCCAGAAGCTTATAATACATCACATGGATAATTGCATTTGAAAAGATTAAGCATGAAACACAAGAAACACAGATAAAATTCAAAGTACACTGAGTCATCACAGGAGAAATACCATTATTTCTTAAAGAGCAGATAGCATGGGGGGGATGGGGGAAGCCAGAAAAAAACCCCAAAACAGTACCAAAAAAAACAATTCAAGTTTCAAAGTGCAGATTCCTTAAGCACTGAGCAAGTGTATTAGCCTTTGAAGTATACACACTGATTTAAGACACAGAGCATGCCAGGAAGTATGAAACACAAGCTACAGTAGAATTAGCCTCATATACACCCAACAGGGCATAGATCTTCACTAAAGTCTCCTACAACACGTAAAAAAACCACTCATACAAATAATGTATTGAGAGAAGACTTTGTCCAGCTTCTGCTCTTCTGAAGCTAGAAAGTCTTTCCTAAAAATTAGAGTAAGTCCAAGTCTGTATCTCTAAATAGTGACAAACACTAAATCTGTTCAATTAAATGCAGCATAACAGGAGACAGTTTTCCAAAATTCTTACTGAGTTTCGTGTATGCAATTGTTTCATATGAGCCACTGTATTTTGAACAAATTACCTCTTTTCCAATCATGTTAACCATTATCTGTTTTGACACATTTAAATAGCAAGGATTCAACCACTCACTAAGTAATTCCATTTGCTATATATTAACAGTGTTTGCTGTATCCTATCTGAGCACCTTCAGAATAACTTCCACTGTTTTTCCCATTTACACTTCATTTAGAAAAAGTCATGACAAAATACAATGCCACTTTTGAAACTAATAACAAAGTGTCATTTGAAATGGTTCATTAAACTTGCAAAACATGCATAGCATCCTTCCTATTGAGCCTCTATATTAAAGACAGTAAATCCAATTTAAAACAATTTTTAATCAAACTCAAGTGCTGGAAGTCCTTAATATGGCAACTGACACTATTCACAAAATACAGAGGGGAAGGTGTACATTTATTTGACTGTCAGACTAGTTCAAATAATGAATGAGATTTTAAATTAATTTTGGTACAGCAACATGCAATTTTTCCAACTATTACACTGACTCATTTAGTGGAAAATATTGCAGGCAAACATTTCCCAAGTTCAGTTCAGTAGTCACTGTAATCAGCAGAGATACTCAGACTCAATCATGTCTTCTTTGGAAGTATCCAGAAATCCAACTTGTTTGTGTTATTAACAACCAGTAGGTGCCAGTCCCTACAGAAGGCAGAAACAGCCAGATTGATATATGAGAAACCAGGGTTCCACCTGTTCAGAAGGAGACAAGCCATTTATTTCAAGTATTCTCAACTTCCCCAAACCAGAGGGGTTTGCATCCTGTCTGACCTATGCTTGGTGATTTCCCCAAGCCCCTGGGCAGACAGAGCTCTGTCTTAACCCCTTGTGTTCAACCAGTACTGAGCTACAAATACCTTTCTTCAGAACAGATACTGCTAAATGGGACTGTGGTAACTGGCTGCACCCCAGCACTGCCCTCTCTCTTTTTCACACACTCTAACGAGCTCCAGCTTCCCACTTTCAGCAAAGCTGAGGGCCAGGACCTGAAGATGAGGAGAAGACATTGCCAACTCAGGTCATGGGGCACTTCAAGGGTCACTGCTCTGCTGCCTGTTTAAGCCTTCCTGTCAATGCTTATCCTCCTAGGAAACCCAAATGCATGAACATTCTACATGGAAACAGTAAACAAGTGCAACAATCCTCTGCTTATTGCATTAATTTCCCAGTTATTCACCACATAAAGACACTGTTCAGATTAAACTGAGCAATGAGATAATGTTAAGGACTTCAGAGCCTTTCAGAAAGCTCCAAAAATTTATGTTTATTTTTGAGATACCTTAATTCCTGTCGCAAGGGAAAAAAAAAAAAAAAGAATGCCCATTCCTCAGCACACAGCACAGTTCAATTCTTTTCAGCTCTGTCAGAGCTGGTTTTTTATTCCTGTTTGGTTTTGCTATTCTCCAAATTATTACAAAAACATTGCTTCAGGATCTAGCTGTTGGCACTACAGTATTTCAGCTTCCACTCTTGCTTTGTAGGTGAGCATGTTCCATAATTAATTCAGCAGTAATAGTCAAGAAACTAATGCAAAAATGCAACTTTTTTTTTTCCTGTTAAAGACATGAGCCCCTATTTCTGAAACATTTACAGAATCTGCACCAGTCATTCTTATCTTTTTTATGGAGCTTTTAAAGATTGACTGCATTAACTAATTAATTTGTCATTAACTAATTTATCTACTGACCAGAGAGAAACTGACACTGAGAAATTATTAGTTTGGAGGTTAAATTTATTAAAAACAGTACAGTAGTGACAGAATTTAATCATACTTTTCATGAGAGCACGGAAACACTCACAGCTGCAGCAATTTGTGATAAATCCATGGAGAGATTCTATGATGGGTTTGGAATTAATTTGTGTCACCCCTAAGAGTATATGTGCTCACTCAACAGTACCTGTATTAAACAATATTAAAAAACACAAATTGAGCAAACCAAATTAACTTGTTGTTTGAGCTAGCACGTGATACATGCCCTTCAATATCAAGATACAGTAATGTGCATCAATAAAATCCAGGGGATCACAGGAGAGGTCAGAATGACCAGAACATGAACCAGAACTGTCTTTATCTGTGTGAATGCACTTGAGTAAAGAACCCAGAAATGCAAAAGGACAGGGAAGAGCCACTGAAAATACACCACCAAGCACAACCCCATCACCCAAACTCCAATCACTACATCACTCTGGAAACCACCACCAACTTACAAGTGCAGCAGAAGAGGAACCTCTGGGCCCGAACAAAGAGAGAAGCGATGAGATTCCCAGATCCTGTGGCAAAGAAATAACAGAGAGAGCATGAGAAGATGGAAGGATGAGCTGCTCCAACCACAGGGACTCAGGCTTCTGCAGCAACCTGATTTCTCCACTCAGCTGTTTTCTGGACCTTAATACAAGAAACCCTGAATAAATGAGACTCACACCAAAGCAAGGATCTAACTATCCAAGAAACTGGTTTTTTTTGAATGGAGGATGAAATAAACACAGTTTGGAAGGCTCTTTTGTTATTAGCTCTTAAGAATACAGTACTGAACTTGTCACCCTGTTGAGGTGTATGGTACACAACACCTACAGCTCAAAGCAAGAGCTGCTTTTGCAGTTTATACACAGATAATCCAAATGGCTTCAATTTGAATTCTCAAAGAACCAGTGATAATGTTGTGTTAACAAAGTTTCCAGCATGCATTGTACAGTTCTGCCCAGAAGCCAAGGTACTCATGTTAAGCAGACCATTTGTAGAAGGGAGATAATATTTTGTCCAGCTTTTGGTATTATTGGCAAGGTAACTTCTGTGTGTGAGCAGGAAGTTGCACTGCAGCTTATGACAAGAGCCACATTCGCTAGGTGGTAGTGTCAAACAAATAATAGTCATGCTAACAACTAGAAGGAGCTATCAAGACAAATCAATATAAAAAGAAATTACAATGCTTATGTAAAACATTATTGTCTATTCATTGAAAAATTACAAACCACAGAATACAACTGATCTAGCATCATGGCCAAATTGTTATTGATTTGCATTAAGAATTTTTCCCTACTTGACATTTTTAGAATTTTTATATAACTGTATATTAAGGCTCGTAGTGAAGATGAGCTTGATTATAAATTCCATGCATCTGCTGAGATATGCCATTCTGAAATTAACTGTCTTGAAACTTATATTTAAAGCACATGAAAGTAATTCAATTTCCCAATATTAACTCTTCTTACATCAATACCAGAATTTAAGATAGGTTGCATTCCTGCTCATGTTGTAGAACAAAATCAAAAGTCTCTTTTCTGTGGGGCCAAAAGAAACAAGTATTTTTTTAAAAAAATTTTCAAAAGAAGAGATTCAGCTGAGAAGGCTAACATTTAAGTTACTGAATAACTGTGGCTTACATTCTAAATAAACGTAGAACGTCACCAAAACTTCTGAAGTTCAAATAATGAAAATGTGATGATTACATCTAATGACACATCATTCTCTTTTTTTTTATATATAAGCAATTCAAGTCTGCTTTAATAAGGATTTTGGCATACAATACAGACATCTAACATTCAAAATAGACTACTGACCTCAGGAGTAGCTATTCAGCCCCACAGGTACAGCAATGATCAATTTAAGAGGCAGGCCAGCATCTCTGAAAATGATACCTCTTTGTAGAAACTCTGACTATGCAAACATGTAAATTAGCCTGGAGAGAAAGTTACAGTAATGGGGGGATTCTGGAGAGTGTTACACTCTATTATGATGGAGGTTATCAAACACTAAGAGGTTTGTTTCAAACAAAATTCATTACCATTATAAAAAAAAAAAATTACAGTTATTTTCTCCCCAGCTGTTATAATTTCCTGTTGAAATTAAAATTCCTGTGTGATACCAAATGATAACTATTTGACAGAATTTGAGAGATACATTACACATGTAGCTCAGTACACATGAAGCTCACTGAGCTTCACATGAGCTATCCTCAAAACTCAAAAGTGATCTAGTGATACTGAACACTACAGCTATTATTATTTTTTTTTGTGACGGAATTTAATGTTTAAGCTTCACAAACCACTTCACTTCCTGATTATTCCAAGTCCTTATCACTAAACGAAATTTATCATGTCTTTTGTCCTCCATTGTTAATCTCATACTTCCACACAAGGAATTAATCAGAGAGCAACAAGCCAGTACCTCTGATATCTGATATCATTACTGACATTTCTTTATTAACAAGGAAAGAGACTATTTATCAAAGCTCCAGCTTCAGGTTTTACAAGCAGCTGACAGAACCATGGGTTCAGCTTCAGAAACAGAACCACACTGAAGGGGCACAGAAAAACATTTGTTTTGATCATTTCCTGATAATCTACATGCTCATCTGGACAATTCTAGACTCACAGTAGCATCTAGCTTGGCCAATATTTGCCCTGTAATATTTTACCTGCTGTAGAACATTCAGGTCACTGAAGCTGCAGCCCCCTGACCAGGAAAACAGTGCAGTGAGAAGACCCAACACACCCCAACCAGCAGAGAGGACAAGGCCTGGTGCAGACAGGCCGCAGCTTAGCAAGGGAGAAAAATTAAATTATTGTCACAGAACAGAACACAAACTGGGGCAAAGCAAACAATGAAGCATTTTGGGGATGGCAAAGCACAGAAGTTTCTAAAGGAAAAAATTGCAGCGCGCTTTGCTAAGAATGTTTGGGCTTGTTTTATTAAAATCATCAGTATCTTCGGTTAGACAGGCCTTTTCTTCAAACTTCTTTTAACATAAAAAGCAAATAATAAAAGACCACAAAATTATTATTTCTTATAGCCCCCTCTGCAAGCTACCTGAAGTTAAAACACAGAAAGAATTAAATATCATATGTTGTAAAGTTCTTTTTATTTTTAACTGGTATTTCACTTGATACTCAAGGAGAAAATTGTGTGCAACTCTGCAGATGCTCCTAAACTAAATTTCCTTGTTCAAATTAGAAACTTTGACATTTAAAATGAATTTTAATAGGGTAATAAACTCAGGATATTTCATAACTCTATCCAAGATATGAGGCATCTCTGACCTACTGACAGCTTAGACTGAATGAAAGTCATCATTAAACACTCATGAAGCAGCACACCAACAGACACTTTGGAGTGAATTATTTGAGTGGTAATGACAAATATGAAAAAAAAAAGTTCAGCCTCTTATTAGAACTACATTGTGATATTGTAATTCCTAAACTCAGTACAGTTATATGAGACGTGTTATAAATCGGCCCAAAGCACCCAGTAATTCTGATTTCTGTGTACAAACTGGTGATTAGGAACATTTACAAAATCTTCCTAGAAACCAGGCCAATGTATAAAAGAGAAACAGACTTCTTATAAATCATACAGAAAAAGGAAAGAGAAAATACTCAAAGTTCTTATTACAAGAAATTTAGAAGTTCATTTTCTAAAAATTATGGAACTGTCAAGTACAACGGAAATGTCCATACACCATATACACCAGTGCAGCCTGTTTTTATTAGCATTTCAATAAAAAAAAAAGTCTTATAATGAGTTGTTCCATAGGCAAGTGCCAGCCCTGTTGCTTAGCATAGGAAAGCCTATCCCTTCATCCCCATTCCAACATAAATATTAAGTTGCTTCAGCTCCACTGATCTGTACCAGTAACAGAGGAAGATTCCTGAAACTACAAAATCTCACAAGTTCTCACTGATAAAATGAGACAGGTTGGTAGAGATTTACTTGGTTTAGAAACCAAATTAATTTTCTGCTTTATCAAAACTGGATTTGAGCAAACAGTCTCAATTGAACACCATAGCTTTATAACAAATTCTGAGTTTATTGTGCAGTAAGATGGTGCAACAGAACCATTCAAAAAAAAAAAAGGAAAAAGAAAAAAACAGAAAAAAAGAGGATTAAAGGAGTGAAAATGTTCCAAGAGAAAAGACCTTCATTAGTACCATAAGTCTCCACTGCAAAAATACTCAAAGCAACTGTACACCAAGTAAATCTATCTGATCTGTACCTTGCCCAGAATATCTATCAGTTTGTCATTCCTATTGCCATACTTTGAGGGGAGACATGCACTCTGTGCACAAAACACATCACATTTGATGAGACCTTTTAAAGGTCAGGATTTTATTTAAGAAAGTGATTTAGTGCTGGTTACTGAGTTACTACTCAAATGCAGAGCTGATTCACTCCACTATGCCATAATCTCAGTGATGAAAGCAAATATGGGAACTACTTCCACCTGACTTTCTGTGGAAGGAATATAACATACAGTGAATTAACAAAGTCAGAAGAAGCCTGGAATAACACAAGAAATAGAATATGCATTTCTGCAGGTATCAATAATGGAGTTATCACAAAAATTGTGTTATAAAATTAGTTCTTAAAAGCTGAGATCCAAAACATGGCTTGGTAAAGGATTAAGCAAATCAATTGTCTGCAAAGCATTTCTAAATGTTTGCTCTGTGGGTGACCATGAAAGAGAATGTGTTCCCCTAAATGCAGGCTTTTGACTGAAGTTCAAGCTGTGCATGTTTTCCAACAAATCTCATTTCATAGAGGTTTAAGATAAAAGTCAGATTCTTAAATAACTAAATTCCAGACTAAGTATCAAGAGAGGAACTTAAAGCCCTTACTGATGGCTCGAGAACCAGGTAACCCCGGTGGGCCATGACAAGATTTGTGCTTTGACTGTCTGTTAGCAGGAGCTTTCCTCAGAAGATGGGACAAGATTGGGGAACAGTGAAACTTACAACCAACTAGAAAATAAAATCACCATTAAGAAATGAATGGCTGCAATCCCCTGGCCAGCTGCAGAAAACGACCCTACAGTTCTTCCCCTCAACACACAAACAACAATGAATCCTCCAGGTGTCAAGGCAGGAATCATTTGGTCAAAAGCTGTACCTAAAATACCTGCATTAGCATCAATCATGCACCAGAATGTTTCTTTCTCTCAAGCAATACTCCTTCCAACTCCCCTAATTAAATCTGCTTATTCATTTTACAACAGAACAAAAGATTCTGACAAAGCAGCAGCAGCAGTCAGGATTCTTGAATTATTAAAAAATTTTTGGTACATATTGATAAGTACATGTTTCCAAATTATTCTTCAAGATAGAAGAGACAGAGTCAGATACATAGGGAAATACTCACAAGTGTAAAAATACAAACATGTGCACACAATATGTGTGTGAGCAAGGAAGAAGCCACACCAGTAACAGTGAGGAATTCAGACTGCATCACATGAAAAATCTGACAACCCTGAAAGTAAATATAAAGTATATAAACATTT